TCCTTGAACTCTCCATCAATGTCAAAACCAACAGGTGGCCTCACAACCCAAATAAACGATCTCCCACTCTTTTCCAACCCTTCCGCCAACGCCATCATTTGGGAGGCACTGATCGTGTTCTGCGACCCAAAAGAAACGTAGACAACAGAATTCTCATCTTTCAAATCCAGCCACTCCATGCACGCTTCAAGAGTCACGCCAGATTCCTTTCCTGTGCGATGTTTTGAACCCTAGAGTGCAGAAGATGGAAGGATAGGCCCCACAGCCCAAACAGGAAGTTGAAGGAAGTCCCTCAGAAGCTGCAACCCCAGAGGCTCTAATTCCTCAACAGTGTTGCAAACCCATCCATCAGACTTCATAGAAAGCGCAATCTGTGGAAGGAAACACTGTGACCAGTCATCATTGCCATCAGCTTCTCTTAGAAATCCATGCAATTGAGTGCGGTGGAAGCGGTGGTTTTGAGGAAAGCCCGGAACCCAGAACTCATCAGAGTGCGTTTTCCTGTGAGGGAGGTTGGCCCAGATAGAGAAATAGGCCAAAGTTCCATATGCACCAGAAGAGGAAAAACAGATATTCCTAATGCCTAAGCTTTTTGCAACATTGTTAACCCAACCCAAGAGAGAGTCAGATATTGTGCATAGTGGAGGATGACCCTCTTCTTCTGCGATCTGCGATATCAGAGAGCGAAGAGGAGCTTCAAGGGCGTGTGTGGAACGAAAAAGTTTGATTATTTGAGTGGGAGTTAAGTTCTCGGTGGTCTCTGTGTTGGGTGGCAAACCATGTTGGGTAGAGTTGTATGGCAACTCAGAAAGACGGATTTGATAAGGAGAAGAAGAAAGTGCAGATCGAAGGTGTTGAATGTTGAGAGGGGTGGTGGCTATGGTGATGGTGAAGATCGTCGTTGAGTGTAGGATTTTTCTTGCTAGTGCCAGTAATGGGATGATGTGGCCTTGTGCCATTAAGGGTACCATCACGATGTGCCCATTTTTCTTGGTTGTCTCTGCCATTAGAAGTAGCTCAAACCAATGGTCTTGACTTCTTCTGAATGTATTGATAAACTAGATGAAATACTATAAATAAATAAAGACAAATTAAAATATATAAATAAGATTAATTTAGAGTATATAACTAAATTATGAAATTAAATTAGATTCAAGATACACTAAACAAAAGATTTACTTTAAACCATTTTATTATCATTTTCTAAATTTTATGGGGATAAAATAGTAATATCAGAAGTTTAACCTTATCATGTGAACATGGAATAAAGTATACTTTAACAAGACCAGACACACCCACCATCTCCAGTCTTTATCTAACATGGCTTTTCCAAATTACAAAAAATTACTATAATTTTATGATGCCAATGTATAGTTATTAAAACATAAATATCTTTTAAGTCTTAAATTTATATTTAAAATTAAAATTATTTATGTAATTTGATTTTAAATTTTAAAATAAATAGATATATTTTTTAATTTAAGTGTTTAAGTTTTTTATTTATGTCAAACGAGATTTTAAACTTATATTTAAATAATTATACTGTTTAATAAGTTATTACTCAAATGCTAAGAATCATGTTTAATAAGAAAACAAAAATAATGCAATTCAATTACAAATATTATATTTATTAATTTTTAAAATATATTAAAATTTATAATAAAAAACGAATTTTAATTCTGATTCTAAATTTACAAAAGTATTTAATTCTTACTTCTACTTATATTTCATTATATATATATATATAT